ACAGCAGCATCGCGTGGAGCATTGTGAGGAGGAGGAGGAGGAGGTGGAGGAGGAGGAGGGTCATGGAGTGTCCTGCGTGCCACAACGCACGCGGCTCAGAGCACGAAGCAGCGGGCGGGCGGAGGATCGTACGCTGTTTTTTTACAGGGAAAATCACTAGGCTCAACTGGGCCCCTGGCCCCCCGTTTACAACAGCAACGGCTCCCGCCTGATACCCCCTCACAATCTATTCCCAAATCGTGCTCTCGCGCGGCACTTCCTCACAATTCATGTACGCATCGCGTTCTCGCGTGGGACTTCTTCGCAATTTATTCAGACGCCGCGCCCTCGGAGCTCAAAAATCACGCTCTCGCTTTGGCTTTTCTCACGATGTACTTGGGAATCGCGCTATCGCTCGGGACTCCCTTGCGATTCATGCAGGACCCACGCTTCAGCAACCCGCCTGCCTCGTCGTCCGGGCCCGCCTTCCCGATCTGCCCACTATGGGTCTGCCCACCCGATCTGCCTGTCTGGTGCTTCCACTTGTTTTCTGCTCCTTGCCCCCGCCTGCTAATTTCTCGCGTGCTCCATTCCTCTTCCCCCCCCTTCCACCCATTCTCTCTTCCCTTGTTTTAGGGGCTGCACGAAATGCACGTGGCAGGTAAGAAAGATATACCCCCAAGGGGGCACGATCGAAGACGACGAAGGCGGGTACCGAGGGTTCGGGATATACGTATTGATTGGCACGTGAGCAGAGAGGAGTGAACAGTCTTAAAACGATTGTCGTTGTTGCTGCTGTTATTGCTGGTTGTTTTTGTTTTGCTTGTCGTCGTTGTCGTTTGTGTTTGTTCCAGGAGTGGAGGTGGGAGGTGAGCACTGCGAGTGTGTGTGGATATCTTGTCCCCTGCTCGGTGTGGCTCCCTCGTGCCGCACCCTCCCTTCCGCCCCGCCTCCGCTCTGGGCCCTGTTGGTTCCTGGTGGTCCCCGTGTGGGCCCTTCCCTGCCGCCTCTGTGCCGCGCGCGGCTCGCCCTCGCTCCGCCCCTGCAGCCCCCCCCCCGCCGCTGTGCGGCCACTGCCTCTCCCTGCCTCTGCGTCGCCGCCGGCCGCTCCTCGGCGGGCCTCGGCGCTGCCCTCCCGCCTCTCCCGCGGGCCTGAGGGCTCACGCTGCTCCACGCGAGAGAGTCCCCCTCGCCTTCCGCGCGGTTTGCTTCCCGGCCGCCGCGGCCCCGCGGCGCGACGGGAGGCGCGCTGGGCGGCGCTGGGCGCTGTTCTTCGTGCCCCGCGCCGCGTGCGCTGTGGCGCGCACGTCAATGGAAAAACACACAATGGTCACTGGAGGGGGGGATCAACAATAATTGTTCAGTAACGAGAGCTCAACAACAACAACAGCAGCAACAACAACAACAGCAGCAGCAACAGCAGCAGCAACAGCAGCATCAGCAACAACAACAGCAGTAACACACAACTGCAGCAGCAACTACTGCCGGATCAACAACAACCACAACACCCACACCCACAACCAGAACAACAACAACAACAACAACAACAACAACAACAACAACAACAACAACAACAACATCAACAACAACAACAACAACAACAACAGTCACAACAACAACAACACCAACAACAACAACAACCACAACCACAACCACAACCACAACAGCAAGAGCCATGACCGTAACCATAACCAGAACAACAGCAAAAACTGCAACGCCGATACCAGCACAAAAACCAACACCAACAACACCAACAACAACAAACAACCGCAAACAAATTAGGAATGTTAACTCTTACCTGCTGGCGTGCCAGTCAACACGCATATCCTAAATCCTCGATGCCCACCCTCCTTGTCTTCGGTCGTACCCCAATTGCATTTCTTCCTTACCTGCCGCGTGTGATTGGTGCAGCCCCTGAAACAAGGGAAGAGGATGGATGGAAGGAAGGGACAAGGGGCAGGCAGCTTGCTGAAGCGTGCGTCTTGCATGAATCGCGAGGACGACTCGAGCGATAGCGCGATTCACAAATAAATCTTGAGGAAAGCTACAGCGAGAGCGTGATTCCTGAGCTCCGAGGGCGCGGCGTCTGAACAAAATGCGAGGAAATCCCACGCGAGAGCGCGATGCGTACATAAATTGTGAGGACTCCCCGCGCGAGAGCGCCATTTGGGAAACAAATGTAAGGAAGTATCAGGCGGGAGCCGCTGTTGTCGCAAACCAGGGGGCAACAACTCAGTTTGGTGACACCCAGCTTTCCGTTGTAAAAAACAAGGTGCGAGCCCCCTGAGAAGCACTTTAATTGAAATACTACAATTGTGTTCGAACAGGGGGGAAACGACACTTATCTTTATGAATGAGAATTCAACAGCAATCGACACAACATCAAACGCCAAGGTTGCTGGCATGAAAGAAACGGGTTCTGAGGGAAACGAGTCCTGGACCCTGGGGCCTTCCCCCAAGACCAGATCTTTGAGTCGTTCTCTGACGGTGCCGGGGCCTGTGGAGGGCCCGAGGAAGCCGCAAACGGCGAAAAACGTCGGGATAGGAGATCGACTACCAAATCGGTTTACCCCAAAATTGAAATTACAGGCAAGCCGGTTAGGGAAACGCGCAGTCGGCGAATCTACCGACAAAGAATACAAAGACACTTCGCAGATCTACACGCACATTACACGTCTTGCTTCTGTTACAGATCCGACGAATATTCAACATGTGGGGGTAAACCAACTCTGTTCAGGGGAGGCGAAACGGGACCGATACCGCTACTCCCCTGGACCTCTCCCTGTGTGCGTTCTGACCAGAATTTTGAGACGATGAACCTGGCGCGGCGCGACCCCCATAAGGGAACGCTTCCCAAGCGACGTTACTTAGAATTGCTGGGCATTGCATTGCTTTGCGTTTCATTGTACTGCGTTGCTTGGCATTGCTTTGCATTGCTTGACACTGGTTGGCATTGTTTGACAATGCTTGGCAATGATTTGCTTTGCTTGACGTTGCTTGGCGCTGCTTTGCATCGCTTGGCATTGCTTGGCGCTGGTTGGCGTTGCTTGGCATTGCTCGGCGTTGCCTGGCGTTGCTTGGCATTGCTTGGCGCTGCTCGGCGCTGCTTGGCATTGATTGGCGTTCCTTTGCACTGCTTTGCACTGCTTTGATCTGCTTGGCGTTGCTTGCCGTTGCTTGACGTTGCCTGGCGCTGCCTGGCACTGCCAAAAACCAGGACCAGCAGCAAGGCCGGGGAACCCGCACCTTCGAGGAACCTTCGAGGAACGGGCAGCGTAACAACAGGAGGCACCGGGGGCGGGGAACCCGAGGCTCGCCATCGCTCGGACGTCCATTCCCTGTGCTGTTTTTGGTTTCGTGCGTGGTTTTTCCGCCAAATGATCAAGGATGCTCCTCGATGGCCCTCGCCGAAGGAAAACTGCACACGTCCGAGCGATGCCAAGGAAGAACCTGGGGAGCCTGAGGAACCTCCGGGAGACCGGCAACGTAACAATAGGAAGCACCAGGGGAGGGGAACCCGAGGAACCCGAGGAACCTCCAGGCAATGGGCAACGCAAGAATACGAGGCACAGACCTTTACCAAAGGAAGAACCCCTCAGGCAAGCCTCACTGGGGAAATACAGCGGTGGCGAGTGGAATTCTGTGAATGCCAAACCCCGAAACGGCGAGCGAAGAAAGAAGTGAATTTCACGTGGATGTTTTGTAGTCTCCATTCCAGGCCCCCCCCACTCAAATCGGCACTGAATGCCCTTCGAGATCCGGAACGAGATTCTCAGGACAGTCCGGGCCCATCCCATTGTTTTCCCGGACGAGCTCCGCTCTGCGATGTTGGCGCCATGACTTCTCCTTCTCTGACTGCAGTCGATCTCCCGCTCGATACTACATGGCCAAACTGGGAACAACCTATCCGGCGGAGGGCCGGGCTCGCAGACTTGAGCAGGCGCCGACCGCTGGGCACACCTCTAGGCCGACCACGACATGTTCGTAGAACCCCGAAATGCTCTAAGATAGACGAGCGCGTTCAACTACTCGCGAAGGAACAACTCGCAAATCGCCTGGAACCGCCGCGGGGGATTTGCGATGTACTACATCGAGGCAATCCAACGTTTTTCGGACGTTGGCGAATTGACACCTTGCGAGCAGTGGAACGCGCTCGGTAACAAGACTCTCAGAACAAGAGCCCGCTGTGTAAAAAGAAGACCGTCTTGGACAGAGATGTTCCAAGACCATCTCGTGCAGACCACAGAAAAAGTCGGCTACACGCAAGAGCAACCCTGGGTAAGAGTGACCTTTGGTGCGCCTTCCAACACAAGCGCGCAAGACGCTACTATCGCACCGCGTTCGGCGATCGGGGGACCCAATTGGGCCCGCACAAAACGTCACTCCGGCGAAAGGTCACTCTTACGTCTAGTCGAAAAGGTTCTCAGAGGATTCCCTGGTGGGCCTGCAGGCCAGCCAAGACGCTTCGCCACTGCCCGCTTGCCTGCGCGCGGTGGCCGCCGCCGCCGACCGAAGGCCGGCCGGCGCGCGGCCGGGCGCCCCCGGAGCGCCCCCGGCCGCCCCAATGCGGGCCCCAGGAATGTATACACCACCACTTCCTTGCCACCTCCCTCCTCCACCAGCCTTTGCCCCTCTTCTTCCCTGGGCGAGGGAGGGCAACGCCGATGACCTGTCGTGCAACTGACCCAGGAGCACAGGCCAACATGTTTGCCCTGCAAGGGGCAATCAAAACTAAACGAGTTTCTTACCCGTCTTGGGATGCTTGCCAGCCTTTATGGCATCGATCTGTGCACCCTGTGCGCTCCTATCAAGTGTCTGCTGAGGCTGCCAACTGTAATCTTGACGAGGCCTGCTTAGGCCCCGCCGAGGACAAGCTAGCCAGAGCCAGGCAAAGATCCTGGGCGAGGGAGGAGGAGGAGGAGGAGGAGGAGGAGGATAATGAAGGAGGAGGAGGAGGAGGAGGAAGAGGTGGTGGTGGTGGCGGTGCACATCCTTTTGGGCCCCGTACCCCACGGGGCCGCCTGCGCGGGGGCGCCCTCCTCCGCCGTGCACGACGGTCCTCGCAGCCGCTCGAGCCAGGCCTCGAGGCGCGGGCGGGCGGATCGGAGGCGACGGGGGAGAGGATACCCCTCCACCTCCTCCTCCTCCTCCTCCTCCTCCTCCTTCCTCCTCCTCCTTCTCCTCCTCCCCGCCTCCTCCTCCTCCCCCGTCCCCTCCTCCTCCTCCTCCTCCTTCTCCTCTTCCTCCTCCTCCTCCTCCTCCTCCTCTGACCTTCCGGGAGGAAGTGGAGCGGAAAGTTCTCGATTTGTTCGAACGACGGGGAGAGGTTATCTATCAGGAGAAGGAATGGAGGGGGGAGGAAGGGGCAGGAGCAGCGGCAGGGGGAGAACTGGACTGGGGAGCGCAGCCACGGTAATCTGAGCCCGAGGACCCAGGAGCCGAGGAGACGCTGCGACATCTACGGATGAGTTCAGCCACCAAGACTACCCTAACCGTCCAGGAAGGCTAAAAAATCACACCTGGGCATAGATACCCAAATCCCAATGGAGGTTCTAAGCAGTACCAAATAGGTCTATAGGTCTTGAGTGTTATGTTTGTTGTACTCTGGAAGGTCAGGGGACAGGGACCCCTGAGATCCGGGCGGCTCCATGGCTTCGCGCCAGAGGTTTTCGCTCCATGTCGGGCCCCCGGACCAAATGGCTCGAAAAATCACGCGGAAAGATAGGGTCTAGGGCTCCGGACGTGATCTTTTTCCTATGTTGCATTTTTTCATAGCGACGGATCTCGGGGTGCGGGGGGGGAGGGGGGCGGATCGTAGGCGATGGGGGGGGAGACAAGGACAGTCAGCATCGCATCGGGACCCCTCGGATCGGATCGGACGGGCCGCATCGGCAGGGAGTCGGAATGGAATCGGATCGGCGGAGCCAGGACACACGGCAGCGCCAGGCAAGCATCGGGCCACGTCGGGTCGGGCGTGGTGTAATGGGGTGGCGTTAAACGAGGGGGGCGAAGAAAGGCGCACCTCTTGTGCCCGAAAGGCCCGAAAGGGGCCCCCAGGGACCCTGAAGAGGCACGAGCTGCGCACGTTTCTCTTCCCCCCTCCCCCCCCCATCTAGCAGCCCTGAGCATCGTTTCACCGAGCCTGTCCCCGCGGGCGTGGCCTGGGACGCGCTGGCCGATCGTACCCCGCTGGATGGGGATGCGGGCTGGCCCATTCTCAAGCTTCTGGGGGCATCTCCCCGGCTTGGGTGGTGGAGGGGTGAGATGGTGGGGACAGGGATCGGTCAAACCATACGGTCACTTCGGGGACGGACAGACCTCCCTTTAGCAAAACGCGGTTTAGTGAAAACGACTTCGGGCCCAAACCTGGCGGGCGCAAGCCTGGAAAATAACGGCCACGGCGCCCTCTCGAAAACCGAAAACGGACAATTCACTAATCGACGTGTCACTGTGGGGGGTTCTGTCCACCCCCGGCCACTCCCCCCCTACGCAGCGCCCGAAGGGGGGCGGGGAGAGGTCCGACCTCTGGCGGAGTGCGCTCCCGCCGCGCGTCAGACCCACCGACCGTGTGCACCACGCGGGCAAGCTCACCCCACAGCATCTCTTCCCATCGCTCGAGCGTCCATTGTGAGCGTTTTCGTATTCGCCGTTTCGCCATGGGGCGGAGTGGGGGGGGAGGGGGGGGGGTCTGGCTCCGGACCTCTGCTTGGTGCGAGTGTTTGTAACAGTGCGTCATACGGGGGGGGCCCCGCCTGTTCGAAACAGGCGCCAAAAACATGTTTGATTCGCGGGTCGAGAGCGCACCTCGTCCGGTCGAAGCTAAGCGGGCCGCGCGAAGCTTGAATTAACAAAGAGGGGGGGATAGAAAGAGAGGCCTCACGGCTAGGCCAGGGAGGCGCCAAGAACAGCCAAGCGCTACTCCACGGGCGGGGGAGGGGGGGGGGGGGCGACGGCCCGCGCCGATCGGCAAAACAACGGATGAGAAAACGATCCCTTGCCGTCGCTCGGGCACCCAGCACCCGAACACGCTTCGGCTTCGTGCGCCTCCTGCTGCGCAAGAGGGCCCAGGCTGCTCCTCGATTCAGGTCGGGCATGCCCTCCTATAGGCGGATTTTGGGCGAACGATAGAAGATCGTCAAAAATATCCCCAGACTAGTTCTTGACTACTTTTAAATTTGCCCAGAAAAAAACCGCAATCAGTGGATGGTTTTCGCTGATAAGGTCGACCGGGAACCCCGGAGCCCAGGAACCCAAAACCCAGCGAAATCGGCCCGGAACCAATAACCGGGAACCCGGGAATCTGGAACCGGGACCCCGGGAACCCAGCCTGCCACCAGAATCGGCGGGAAACTTTCGCCAGATCTTTCGACTTCCGCTAGGACCCCTTCAGTGCAAGCACTGATTGGGGAACTATTTGTAACTACTCCTCCTGTAGAGGTTGGCGGCGCGCAAAAGGGGGTAGTGGGAGGGGGAAAGGCTTCTTAGAAGCACCCTGCTTCTTAGAAGGCCTCGGCCTTGCGTCTATAGAGAAGGCCCGCGCCTTCTAAGAAGCAGGGGTGCTTCTAAGAGGCCTTCCCCACTCCACCTACCCCTCTCTGCGCGTTGCCGAAGAGGGACAGGCCCGATTTCATCCTCGCTGGCCCGAGCGGCGCCAGGCTCTAGAGAGCGTCAGGAAGGCACGCCGAGGCTGGCCCGCGTGCCCGAAGTATTCCGGTCTCCGCCCTCGGGGGGCGCGTGGCCGAGCGGCGCCAGGCTCCACAGCGCGCAAGGAAGGCACGCCGAGAGGGGAGGAGCAGGAGGAGGAGGAGGAGGAGCAGGAGGAGGAACGAGGAGGAGGAGGAAGAGGAGGAGGAGGAACGAGGAGGAAGGAGGAGAGAGGAGGAGGAGGAGGAGGAGGAGGAGAGGAGGAGGAGGAGGAGAGAGGAACGAGGAGGAAGGAGAGAGGGAGGAGGAGGAGGAGGAGGAGGAGGAACGAGGAGGAACGAGGAGGAGGAGGAGAGGAGGAGGAAGAAGGAGGAGGAGGAGGAGCGTCGACCTCCTGCCCTGACGCGTCCGGGTCCGCCCTGGGGGGGGGGCGCGCGTGGCCGGCGGGCTGCCGCTCGGCCTGTCTGCCTGCGCCCCGTCCCCGGCCGCGTCGGCCTCGCGGCCCCCTTTCCGGCCTAACTACCTACCAGACCACCCCAACCCAACCCGAAGACCCGAATTTCGGGTTGGGGGGGGTAAGGGCTCCACACGTGTTTTTTCGATGTTCCCGGACCCCCCCCCCACTGGAAATCGAGGGTAAATCTGAGCCTTCGGGTTGGGTTGGGGTGGTTTGGTGGGTGGTGACCTACCTGAAGGGGCCCCAGGACACAGAAACAAATACACACAAACAAAAAAGATTCCCCATATTTGCCCACATGTGCTGGGCTCCTGTCTTCCCCCCCACTTCCCCTAGTTTCCCATAGTCTCCTGGGAGGGGACGATGAGTTGTGTCTGTTTGTTTTTGTTCCCCTCCTGACTACCGTCCACCAGTGTAGTAGGAATGCGCGAGAAGGATGCAAGGGCCTTGGACGCCCATCGTGAAGCTTTGCGAGCAGGGCGCGGCCAACGAAAGTGGCCGGGGATGGATCGAGGAGGCAGGGATGCAAGGGTACCCCTGAGAAGGTTGCCCATCCTTCCTGTGCGGGGTGACTGTAAGATGGGCGAGCCCACAGCGATGTCAATCTTATGGATGCCCTCTCAGAAACTGCGGGGAGCCTCAGGATCGGCATCGGGGCGAGGTGATGCCAGGCACAGGGAAAGGGAGATGCTTCAAACTGGTAACTCTCGGAGCCTGGGAGGCCCACAGATAAGGCGGGCTCAAGACCCTGAACAAAGAAAAACCTTGCCATCTCATGGGGGGGCAACTTCTATCGGGGATCTGCTACCCCAGGTCAGTCAGACCCGGGTCGGCAAGAAACCAAACAACTGCAATGCAGGAACAAAAAACTGCAACGCAAGGCTTCGCAAACCCGGGTCAGCCAATACGCGCGGCCGCCTCGCGGCCACGAGCGGCTCGCGAACCTGGGTCAGCCAGGAAGGGGTCTTCGCAGGATCCTGCAGGATCCGGTGCCCTGGCTGACCCCCGTTTGCATTGACCCCCGTCTCAAGGCTCCCGATTCTACATCCGCCAACCTCCGCCGGCCTTCCGCCGTCCTCCGCCCGCGAAAGCGGCCTCGTGCTGCTTCCGCCTCCGCCCACCGACCTTCCGCCGGCTTCCGCCGAAGAAGAGACGACAACTACTTCGATCCTCGCTGACGAGACCCTCTCTTGACAGCCTCATTCAGGCGGGCGCGCCTGGGCCTCAACGACGGGGTAAGCCTGATAAGTCTGGAGCCTGAACACACGGCCCTTGCCGATCGAAGAAGCCGCCCACTCCCCGAGACGATAACACGCATACGCCCCAGAGAGACATGCGAGATCCCAATACCACTGGTCCAGGGGGGGACCACGCTTTGGCGGACTACGCGGGCCAGGCGAGTTCCTTGCCTTGTCTTGTCTGCAATTTGGAACAGCTGCTGCATCATGGGCCTGCGACCCAGTGGTGCACCTCCAGCGGTGTCGACGCCAAACCGCGAGACCATGGATACAGCAGGACCCAGGGCGCGGACCCATCCAGCACAGCGCATTCAAGCCGAGACCTGCGCAGCGAGGGCGAAGCCACTGCCCTCCCCACAAGGGCGAGAGGAAAGAGGTTTGCCAGCGTAGGGTCCCAAACAGCAGACTCTTGCAGCCTATGCGGTGCAATCTGTGTGGTGCAATGTATGTGATGCAACCTATGCGGCGCAATCTATGTGGTGCGCAACGCATGCACCGCATAGCCCCGAGATGGTTAAGGGAAGTAAGAACCCCGAAGTACAAGCACTGTAAGCTCCTGCTCCTATTCCTCCTCCTACGCGTTCTCTTCTTCATTGGCCAAGTCGCGCACACGAGGTCACACCCCGTCCCCCAGGCGCAGCGGCGCCAGAGGGAGAAAGAGGGTGGGACGGCGGGACAAGCGGTCCCCCCTGTGACCCAAAAGGCTGCGGAGAAGACAAGGGGAGCAAAGGGGGAAGTGAGA